ATCAATGTACAGATATCGTCACAGGAGGATTTCATCAAGAATATTTTCTTATTGGTGTCGATACTAATGGTACTTTTGCTTATGGTTTTACGGATTCATTTGTATTCAAATTAGATATTTATGCTAATAATATTACAATAAATGTTACGACAAGCTCTGTTTGGCCATCTTCAGGTTTTATTCCACATGCTATCGATGTAGCTAGTACATGGGCAGTAGTTGCTGGTTATGGATATGCAGATGAAGTGAAAAAAAATTATGCAGCACTTGGATGTTTGATTAATCTTTCTATGATAACAAATGCATCTTGTACACCTTTGACTTCTGAAACAACATACCTGGTACCAGCAAATGTTATCTCATACAATGAACTTTATGAATTATCAGTTGCTATTCGTGGTGAAAGAATTCTTGCTGGAGTGCCTCGTCTTTCAACATTTGTCATTATTAAAAACCTTGGATCATCATTAAATGTTACTGATATACATACATTATCTTATCTTGATGCTTCTTCATTTGGTCGTGTCGTAGACTGGGCGGATGATACAACAATTGCTGTGTTAGTTCAAGATTCAGAAACAACACCTTGGTCGAAATCACAAGTATTCTTTTATGGTGAACGTTCGGTTAACTTAACTTCGCCGATCTTTACTTTTCCTAATAATCAACAAATATTGGGTAGTCGTTTGTCACGTCCTTCTTTTGCTCGATTTGGTATTACAAGTGGAGGTAATATGGCCATACTTACAGACAATGCTGATATTTTAATTATTCCTGTTGCTTCTGCTGGTTATACATCGACATGGATTGATACTACAGCTCGTACATATTTTTTCGTATTGCAACCAAATCTCTGTATTGGTGGTACATATAAAAATCGTTCAAGTTTAGGTCCATGTCAAATTTGTCCTCCACATACTCGAAATTCTGGCACATTTGTTGATGGAGTTCTTCAATGTATACCATGTTCAAATGATTCATCAACTTCATTTTGTCCACTAGCATCATTAGTTGATGTTGACTTGAGTACAGTACCTTCTTATAGTCAAGCAGTTGCCTATCCTGAAACAGGTGGTACAACAGATATGGAAGATCTTCTATTAAAAAATATGTTCCAACTTAATTCTAATTCACGCTGTTTACTTATTTCTCCTATTCTTTGGACTATAGTTGTCATGGGTTTATGCATTTTCATTTTTCTATTTATGATTACCATTAAGTTATGTGAATGCCAACAATGTGCACAATGTCGAAGAAAAGCAAAGAAAATTTTTACACATACAGATATCATTGGTGAAGGTGACAAGTGGGTTGGTGGATTGGCAACATTGGCTATGCTTGTTCTTGTTTCATTTTCATATTGGTTTTCCACATCATTTATAAGACGTTATCCAATCGAAGAAGTTTTTGACCCAGCTACATTTGCTTGTGATCA